CAGATTTATGTAATTATTTACTTACGCAGTTATTTCAATTTCTTGTTGTCCACATTTAATAAAATAAGATCCAGCTTTGTATCTACCCTTTATACTTTGTCCTTCCTCATGACTTTGTCTGCATACTCGACATAATGACCCCTCATGAATTCCATAATAATCAAAATTTTCACTACTAAATTCTTTATATAGATCAGAATAACTCCACAATATCTTATTACGAAAATAAGCGCGATCATGAGTTTGTATACTTACCTGAGGTGTGGATGAGATCTTAGTTTCTTGTGGGATATTATTAGCTGATACACTTACTTCAGAATTATTCTGATTGTGAATAAAATTCACGGTTTTTGAAAGTACGTGATTTATAATATTTTGAATTTGAGTGTAAGTAAGGTTTGAAATAGCATTTGCACTATATGTAACTTGCTCAATTTTTTCTATTCCTACGGCATTAAAAAGATTATAGATTTTTCTAGCTCTAAGAGTTTTCTGACGCAGATTCGCATCTGTAATATCAGGAAGTAGCTGTTTAACTTCTTTGTATACCAAATTCTTTGCTGTTTTAATCTTAACTTTGCCATCGGAAGTAATCTCATTAACCCTTTTATCATACCTTTCTATATAGCGACACCAATGCAAAATTTCTTCCTGGCCAGATTGAATTGCTTTTCGAAACATACAAACTATGCTTTGTGCCGTAACTTGATTATGTTGATTTTCACCATCCAGTAAGTTCTGATTACTAGTTATATTTTTTCTGGAGGTTGGAGAAGCAGATAGTTCTTGTTTTAAATCTTGTTCTACAATCTGGTTCTTATCAGGCTGAGAAAGATCATAATTATATTCGAATGGATCTGTAGAATCAGAATTAATAGATGGTTTAGATAATGACAAGGATCCATCTAGATTTTGATCGTGAATTTTATTCACGGTTTTTTCTGATTCTACTGAAGATAAGTCTTGGTCCTGAAACTTTTTTTCCCCGTTTCTTTCTCTTATCATATTACTAACCCTTTCCTTATCTTTCGAATCCAGGAATTCATTGACTTTCTTATCTTCCAACGTTTTAGTCTCTGTGATTATAGGTTGATATGTATCAGGATGAGAAGCATTATCAGATGTGTTCTCTATCCATTCGGGAGAAACAATTTTCTCAGGGGTATCACTTTGTGCCTGTTCTAGATTCACAGAGTTGGTGCTATCATCCTTGTCAGATTGACCATTAATAGATGATGGAATAGGCATCTGTGGAGTTACTGATAATGCCGGAGAAACTGGAGACTGTGAAGCATTATTAGTAGTTCGATTTTGGTTTATTATTTGTTTTAGCTTTCTATTTTCGATCCTAAGATTAGCAATTTCTTCTATGATCTGTTTTAATTTGGTATTTTCTACCTCAAGTTTGGCAACTCGCTGTCTTAATAATTCAAGCTCTGATGACATGTTCGATAATAATTTTTATATAAGATACATATTTATTCAAAATTTCGAATTAATAAAAATTATGTGAGCGTTCTGTTTCAGAATGCCAACCACTTTTGCCAAGAAAAATTCATGATCATATCACTCGTACAATATAATAAAATCCTGAAATACATATAAATATAAAAAGTAAACACGATTGTTTATGCGAAAATCGAGCCGACAGGGAACGAAATGGAGTGAATTGGAGTTTCAACAATACTCAAAAGTCATAATTACGCACATACTGCCTCATATATCACGTGATGTTGTGACCTGGGGTCAC